GGCAGGGTGAAGGTGTGGGGGGTGCAGAGAAGCCTTCTTTCTGTCAAAAATTCCTACTCCCTTTGGCCCTGCCCTTGTCTGTAAGCGTAATAATGATGGGACTGAGCCCTTCCGGGAAGCTGCTGCTCGCTGCCCAGAGCTGCCTGCTGGCCTGCCCTCCATCCACTGCCTCTCTGCCCCTGCCCCACAGGCATCTCTCCCCTCTGACCCGTAGGAGGCCAAAGCCACTGAGCTAGGCTGAGCTGGAGGCCCTGGGGCCTGGGGAATTTCTTCTCCTGAGCACAGGCCTCAGCTTCACGGTGGGGACACACTTGGGGGTGACAGACAGAAAGGGTGTAGCCTTGTGGAAAAGCCTGCTGGGCCTGGCCTCCTGCCCCTCACATACTAGAAACTCTTTGGCAAGTGCTTGCCCTTCCCCGTGCCTCAGTTTCACCATCTGTTAAGTGGGTGATGATATTCCCTGCCCCACAGGGTTGTGGGGAGAGTTGAATGGGAGCCTGAGAGGCCATGGAGCTGTAGCACAAAGTCTAGCGCACAGGTGGTCCTCGGTAAAAGTCTGTTCTCTTCACTCTTCCCTTTGTCCTCTGCCGGCAGCATCCACAGAGCTTCCACAGCCTTCCTCTACCTTTCTTGGCTCCCCCTGAGGATTCCAGAAGGTGAAGACACCTAATGCTGTTCTTATTTTGCTTGCCACCCCCCACCCCCCGGCAACACAGGGGTGGTGAGCCCACCCTCTACTCAGGCTTCCCTCCCATCTTTGGGACTTTCCTCTTACGGTTTATGCCCACTGGTCTCAGCCCCAGCCTCTGTATCACCTGGAACACATCTGCTCCCTCTCCCTGCACAAGCCCCAGAAGCGAATGCTACTGAAATCACTAATGGTTACTGAGCACTTGCAATGTCCACCCACCGAGCTAAGACCTTCATCTGCGTGAATGCATCCAATCCCTCCATCAGCGCTGGGAAAGCTAGCCCGTTATCATCATCCCGGGTTCCTGTGGAAACCGAGTCACGAAGAGGTTGCATAGCTTGCTGAAGGTCCCCCAGATAGTCACAGGCAGAGGTAGAATGCCATCATTGGCATCTGGCCCTGAAGTCTAAGATCTGAGCCACGTATCATGTGGTGGGGTGTCAGAGCTGGGCCCTCCCAGTGCCTGGTCTGACAGCAGTGTGGGAATGGTGCGCTGAAGATGTTTGATACTGCAGGAGCCTGGAGCCCCAGTCCCCGCCCAGAAGCTCCCAGTCCTTGATGGAAGGCTCCAGAATGGCCAGTTTTCTAATTACATGGTGTGGTGATGCTTTCCGACTCACCCCCTTGCTCTTGTCTCACCTTCCTGCTTCTCCCTTTGGTGCACATGCTGTATCTTTTTATTTGTGTACCTTTCCTCCCTGTTGATTTCTGAAGCAGAGACTTTTTGGGAACTGAATTGTCAGTCTTGCCGCAATCCTCACCCTTCACTCGGCTGAGTGTCCCGAGATGCCTTGACCCCTGCCCTTGGACCCGGCTGTGTGAGGCCAGGTGCCAGGTCCCATCAGTCTCTGAACCAAGAGGCCTGCAGAACCAGACCCCAGAGTGGGTCTGCCTGGTGATGGCTCCCACATTTCCCACTTCAACCAAGAAGTCTCAAATCCTACCATTAGTGAGGCACCACGTGCCTATCCCTTGTCCCCCTTAAAAATGTAAGTGCCTTTAAGAACAGGGACCAGGAAACTAAAATTCATCTAGTATTTCGGGATTACTGCAGAACGGAGGCTGTGTAAGTTGTGGGTATCAGGCACCAGGTAGAAAAACGTGCCACCAGAAGTGGTTGGGTCACTGCACACCCCCTATCTTGAGACCAACACAACTCAAAGTGCTTTCAGAGTCATAGGTGGCCTGTCTACTGCAAATTGACTGGACCCGGGGCCCTGGCTTCACGCCGAGTGCTCCCCTTGGCATAACTAGCCTCTCTCGTGGACCTGACCAGTGCCGAGAGCCAGCCCTGCCTTGGAGCTCGGTCTTCTCCCCAGGATATCATGGCTTCCAGGAAGGCCAACAACGATCCAAAAGACATTAGGCAGTGGGCCCAAAAGACCAGGGCGGCGTTGTTGTCACTTTCTAAGTTCAGATTTACACATTCAGCATGTACGTCCATTTTTAGGGTTTTGTCTGTAATTCTGGTAGGCTGTCACCAAGTGGTGGTAATGGCGGCTGGGCAAAAAAGACATGATTACTGAAGGAAGAAATTATTATTTTATATACCGCTATGGTTCTACATTATTAAATAATAATAATTAATACTCCTGTTTGATTTGCCAGGCATTGTTCTAAGTGTTTTACCTCACCTAGTCCTCAGAACAGTCTTTCGTGGTAGTTCCTATCATTAGTCTTGTGAAGTGACTCGCCCAGGATCACAGAGCTAGGATTTGGATCCAGAGTCTGGTGTTCTTAACTTTTATGCACTACTGCAGAAACAGGCAAATACCCAGGGAAACATTACTATGGAAACAGACCGTCTCATAGACGAGTCCTTCTTAAACTTAATAGCGTATGAATTCTCTGGGGCTCCTGTGAAAATGCAGATTCTGACCCAGTGGATCTAAGATGGGGCCCGAGATTCTGCATTTCTAATGAGCTCCCAGGCAATGCTCAGGATGCCAGTCTAGGAACGACTGACAGTCACAGTGTGGTGCCTGCGTTTAAGCCGGCCTCAAACTCAAATCCTGTGAGTGCTAAGCAGGTGACATAATGCAGGGCGCAGCTGGTCGGAACAGAGGTGACACGGAGAATGCATTGCAGTCGGTCTGATGGGGCGGCCACTCCTTAACCTCAGCTGATAATCACCAGCAAGGATTCTGGACCAATGTGGTCATATTTCTATGTGAAATCTCGCACTTTCAAATAATGGGGCAACAAATTCAACTTTCTAAAACACTGGGCAGCTTGTACATGAATGTTCATGGCAGCATTATTCATAATAGCCCAAAATTAGAAACAACCCAGTGTCTTTCCTCTGATGAATGAATAAATAAAATATGGCATGACCATATAATGGGATATTATTCGGCACCAAAAAGGAATGACATACTGATACATGCTGCAATGTGGATGAACATTAGAAACACTACAGTGAGTGAAAGAAGCCAGACACAAAAGGGCAATTATTGTATGAGATGTCAAGAATAGGGAAATCTATAGAAAGAGAAAGTAAATTAGCGGTTGCCTGGGGCTGGGTATGGTGAGGAAGTGGGGGGTTGGATGGTGAGTGACTGTTAATGAATACAGAGTTTCTTTGGGAGAGCAATGAAAAATGTTCTAAAATTAGACTAGTGATGGTTGTCTAACTCTGTGAATATACTAAAACCCATTGAACTGTACACCTTAAATAGGTGAAATGTCGGGTATGTGAACCATATCTCAATAAACCTGCTTGAAAAAAATACCATGTAAGAGAGAGCCAGTTTCTTTAATATATAAAGTGCAGTTACAGATCAACAAGAAAAGTACCAAACCCCAGCAGGAAAAAAAAAAAAATTACAAAGTATATGAACTAACAGTTCACAAAGGAAACACAAGTGGTTCTTAAATGCAAAAATTCTCTCTTGGGCTTCCCTGGTGGTGCAGTGGTTGAGAATCTGCCTGCCGATGCAGGGGACACGGGTTCGAGCCCTGGTCCGGGAAGATCCCACATGCCGCGAAGCACCTGGGCCCGTGAGCCACAATTAGTGAGCCTGCACGTCTGGAGCCTGTGCTCCGCAACAACAGAGGCCGCAAGAGTGAGAGGCCCGCGCACCTCGATGAAGAGTGGCCCCCGCTTGCCACAACTAGAGAAAGCCCATGCACAGAAACGAAGACCCAACACAGCCATAAATGAATAAATTTTTTTTAAAAAAGGCAAAAGACAACATATTTAAAAAAAAAAAAAAATTCTCACTTGCTCATAATACATGTCGTACAAGTCAAAGCTACTCTGAGAAGATTTTCTACCTCTTAGGTTGGCAAAGATGAAAACTCTGTTAGGGAGGAGACGGGACATTAAGTTGGTACACCTGCAGCTGGAGGGGTGGAGGCGGGTAGTGGCAATAGTCATCTTTAAAAATGAAAATTGTACATACCCATCAACCCAGCAATTTCACTTCCAGGAACTTATTCAACAAATGTACTGTCACCTGTGAAAAATTATATATGTACATACACACATATGTGCAAAGCTATTCATAGTAGCATTGCTTGTAATAGAAGAGTGGAAACAATCTAGACATTTGCAGTAGTGATGGGAAAGCACTTCGAACCTTGCATAGAGTTGAATACTGTGCAACCCTCAAACACAATACAGCAGCTCTGTTTATACTGACCTGGTGGAAAATATTATGTATATGTCTGAGATATATTATTAAGTGAAAAGGGAAGATGTAGAACTAAGTGTATAATCTGTCTCCATACGAGTGAGGGAAAAGAAAGGATGCACGTACGTATGTATATGGTGTATATGTTTGTAAATGGAGAGCCCATCTTTGGGGTGGTCTAAAGGAAATTCGGATAGCCACCAGGTAAGGCAGCAGGTGGCTGGGAGCAGGCGTGAGGGGAGACACAGTTCCGCTGCCTACAAGGTTGTATTCTGCCTGCGTTGTCTCTTCAGTAGCCATTTAAACCACACCACCCGGGGCCAGAGAGCACCTGTGTGAGGTCATGTGACCACCAGCTGCCCCTTCATGACATGACAGCAGAGTTAAAGGAGTAGGTCCTAGCCACCATCGAGGACTTTGCTCCCTTAAATCTAAAAGAGATGTGCGCCACTCACCACCTCCTCTGTTCTCTGTCCCCACACGGGTCTCCCAGCCTTGGGATTCCCATGTGTGCTCTGAGGGTGACTCTGGTGTTCTCTGGACTGGGGACAAAAGGTGTCCAGCACATGGGGACACAGGGCATGAAGGCTGAAGAGGGAAACCATGAGGACCCCTGTGGGGCATCATTTTGGCCTGTTGGACCCTAATCCCTGTGTTTGCTTCCTGTCCTCTAGGCACGCCCCAAAGGCGAGGGTCTGACCCCGTACCAGGGCAAAAAGCGCTGCTTTGGCGAGTACAAGTGTCCCAAGTGCAAGAGAAAATGGATGAGCGGGAACTCCTGGGCCAATATGGGGCAGGAGTGCATCAAGTGCCACATCAACGTGTACCCACACAAGCAGGTGAGCCGGGCGAGGGGCGGGGGAGCGGGGAGCAGGTGAGGCATAAGGACCAGGGGAGGGTGAGCTTTTCGCTTACTGAGCCTCAGTTTGCTCCTTCATACGATGGGGATGAGACCAGATCTATCCAAGTTAGCCCTTTCTTTCCTTGTCTCATAGGAAGGTGGGGGGCGGGGGAGAGGGCCTGTTTCTCCAGGAAGGGAAGGAAGATAAAGGGGCAACTGTACGAAGATCCTGAGACCACAGACCCCAGTGAATTTTGAAAGTAACGAGCTGCAACCGTGACACAAAGAGGGATGCGCAGGCAGCGGGATGCTGTAGAGGAGTGCATTTTGTTGGTCCTTCACCCAGTTGGCGCATGTTTACAAGGTGGCTACTGGGTGCCAGATACTGTGCAACGGGGCTGGTGGCCAAGGGCCGGCCTGCCCTGCTGGGAGGGGGTTGAGGCAGCTCGTCCCGGGCAGCACTCACTTACTGCAGGCTGCAGAGAGGAGGCGGCATTTACTCTGGGGCCTGAAGCAGGGGAGGAAGCTAGACCTGTCACCAGAGGGAGGATGGCCATCCTAGGAAGAGGGTACAGCAAGTGCTAATGCCCTGAGGCTGTTGGACTGGAGGTGCTCAAGGCTGAAAGCTCAGTGAAGGAACTGGCGAGTGGAGTGGAGCAGAGTCACCAGGGGAATTCGGGGGGCCCTACAAGGAAGCCCCCAGCAACAGGGCTTTCGGCTTCATTTTGAGATGATTGCTTTGGTCGTGTGTAGAGACTGGCCTAGAGGGGCTGGGAGACTGGGGAGTCCAGCAGGAAAGCCATGGCCATAGTCCGGGCGAACCGAAGGAGGTCTGAACTAAGGTGGTGGCTCTGGATCTGGGTCCAACACAGAGCATCACGGGATCGGATGTGAAAGGTGAGGGGGGCGGGGCAGGAATCCAGGAGAACAATCACACTGTGGCTTGAGCTCCTGAGTGGATGGAGGTGGTTGTTACCAAGGTGGGCAGCCTGGGCTGGGGGCAGTTGGGATGGGACACAGGTGTTCTAGATAAAGGCAAGAGATCTCTAATACATGCTACATTTGAGATGTTCCTGAAAATCCAGGTCAAGATGTCAAGAGGGCAGTTGGGTTTGTTATTCCGAAGCTCGTATGAGAAGTCAAGGTGGTTCACCGGTAGTTGGGTACCATCGGCCTAAAGGTATTTAGGGAATGATGAGATTTCCTGCAGGATGTGGGCAAAGTAGCTCAGGGATTCCCCAGACCCTGTGTTGTGGAATCCCAGCATTCGGAGGTCAGATGGAAGAGAAGCATCCAGCGAGGAGGGGGACCAAGGAGCGTGGAGCCCTGGGGGTGGGAGGGTGGCACAGGGGGTGGCTGGTGCTGAGATGTCAGGTATAATGACCATGGAGAAGGTCCCTTGAGGTTTGGTAATAAGGAGGTGGTCCCGCAACTTTGGGGGGCATCACTTTTACCTGGAGGACTTTTTGAGCTGCCACCAAGCTCTGAGAACCACTGAAGCCGATGCCCTTTAGGTCGGACATGAGGCGGAGGGGAGATGTTAATTCACAGCGGATCTGTTGGCCAGGGCAGTGTCCATGGTGGCGGAGGTTCCCTGGGCCAGGCCGCAGAGGAAATACCTTCACTGTTCACTTTTGCAAAGGGCATTGATTGTGGAGAGAAGCAGAGAAATGGGACGGTAGCTAGAGGAGGGACGGTGGCGTTGAGATGGGTGTTCTGAAGATGGGAGAGCCTGGAGCACATTATAGGCAAATGAGAATGACCCAGAAGAAAGCAAAAGGCTGATGATAAGGGGACAGAGGGAGATGCCTTATCATCAGCCCAGGAGGGAGGGAGGTGGGGGATGATTGGGGAGGGTTGTGGGTTTGATGGGGCAGAGAAGGGGGACCTCACTTCCAGGGCTTCTGTTTTCTCAGTGAAATGGGACATGAGGTTTTCAGCTAAAAGTCAGAGTGAGGACGGGTGTGGTGGGCTTGGGGAAGGACAAGGGAGGAAGCGAACCTACTAGAGAAACATAGCCGGACTGGCAAGCAGCATGCCAGCCCAGGGGGAGCTTCGAGATCAAAACTGTCACCCAAGCCGTCAGCCCGGGTTCTGTGACTTGGCCAGTAGTGTTCACTGCACAGGTGTGGGCCAGAGATGGTGTTACAGGGGTTCGGGGACAGAGGTGTGCCAGATGAGCGTTTCAGAGGGAAGAGGTCAAAGAGTCAGGTGTGATGTTGGAAGAGTGTGGTCCTGGGCTGTGAGCTAGACAGCTGGGAAGGGAAGCCAGAGGGGCCCTGATGGAGAGGCGGGGCCAGGACTGGGGGGGAGTGCGGGACCCGGGAGCCGGACAGAGAGCAGGCTTCTGAAGGCCAAGTCCAGGCTGTGGCTGCGGGGATGCTGGGAGACACGGTCACTGCTCGTGAGGTTGTTGGGGTACGGGGAGCGGGGGTGGGGCGAGCCTTCCCTGTGTAAGCTGAGTCACCAAGACGGATGGCAGGAGCGGGGGCTGCCAGAGGAGGCCACAGGGAAAGGGAGGCAGGAGGGTGGGGGAGGATCCCCCGAGGCAGTGACATCAGGCTGAGCTCCGAGGGGCAGTGGAGGGTCAGCAGACGAAGGGGGCTGGGGTGGGAGTGGCAGAGAGGGGAGGGTGCGCTTCTGGTGAGGGAACAGCACGTGCAGAGTGGAGAGGACAGGGCCCAGCCCAGCACTGGAGGAGCTGAGGGATGAAGCAGACTCTGCGGAAGGAGGGCCCGGCAGCCTTGGGCTGGCTCAGAGGCCATGGCATGGAACTTGGTCTTTATCCTACTAGGAGCATCTGGGAGTTGTCCAAGAGGACTCTTGTGGTTGAAACATTTTCTGACTTTATGACCCTCGTGCAGGCCTCCTTTGCCTCTGTTTGCAGACGCTCCATCCTCCCGCCCCCAAGGGTTTCCATGGTTCCCATCACCCACACTGTCGCACACAGGCAAACAGATGGGAAGCTGGCCATGCAGCCCAGTGGACAAGGGGCTCCGTAGTGCAGGGGGCCTGGCCCACAACCTAATGGCACCAAGGGAGACACCAAGGCCCTGGAGGGCCAAGACAGGCTTGATGACCCAGTGGCTGGGCACAGGGCACGTGATATGCACGTAGTGGTGTAGGAGCACGTCGGGGCTGGGGCTGAAGGCGGGCAGTGTAAAGGAGCCACGGCATCCTGGATCCTGAAGGCTTCCTGGCAATTCCTGAGCTGGTCTGGAACCCCAGTTCAAAAGCACCTCCCCAAATGTCTGACTGTCAGCATACTCGCCCTCGTTGAACTCTGCTCCCCCAGGGCCCTTGTGCATGGCCTGTGCTGTCAGAGGGCTTCCTACGTTCTCTCATTGGACACACTTTGTTGACGGCTGCTTGCCAGGTCTGTGCAGGCTCTGAAGGAAGACGAAGGTCAGGGGGCTGCCTGGCTCTCCAGGAGCTTCCTCTCCAACCCAAGGGACAGGATTCCATCAGACAGGGTTAGCAACTGGCGTTCAGAGAACTCCTGTTCTGAGTCGCAGGTGTGGTCACCCTCCGGGTGCCTTTTGCTGAGCCCCTGCACACCCTTCATGTGTGCTCTGCCCTCAGACCAGGTGTCCTGTTCACTGGGAGGGAACGTGCAGTCCTGAGAAGCCACGTGGCCTTTCCAGGGCCCCCACGTGGAGGTGGTACCTTGGCGTTGAACTTGCACCTGTGTCTGGAGCCCGGCCCTGAGGCCAGGCAGGCCTCCGTTGGTGTCCCAGCTCGCGCCCTCTGAACTGGGTGGGCTGGAGCAAAGCGCTGGGCTGGGCTCCGAGCACAGGAGAGAGGAGGGGTGCTGTAGGTGCGTCTCAGTCACTGGACACTCTGGCAGGAACTGGGGAAATTTTGACAGCAGTGTGCGGTGGCCAGGCACTCCTCTGCGTATTTTATACCTTCATCCTCTCAGCCACCCCATGAGGCCAGCTCTATTGTCGCCCCATTTTACAGAGGACGAAACCAAGGCAAAGGGCATAAGTGACTTACCCAAGGTCAGCAGAGAAGCTGGAGCTCATGAAGAGGGATCAAGCTTGGGGCTGGAGGAAAACATGGAGCCTGGAGGGGACAGATGAGTGGCCTGGGGGGAGCGGGGGCAGGGGGAACAGCAAGGGCAGGTCAGGGTGGCCGGCTGGGGAGGGGAGCTGGGAATGGGCCAGTTCCTGCAGGGCCTCAGACGTATGGTGCTTGGGGCTGTGCTGGGATCCGGGAGGCTCAGTCCTTATGACTCTCACACCTCTGTGACCTAATCAGAGAGGCAGGGCCCAGGCCATGCACCCAAGTCCACCAGGACCCAACTCTCCACTGTGGCTCCAGCCTCCTTGGCCGCACCCCTGTATTGCCCTAGCACCCCTTCCATGATGCCGGGCCCGTACCCCCATCCCCCCGGGCTGGCAGTGGCCTCTCCTGCTTCGTCTCCATCCTGCGAAGCTCAGTCCAGGTGCAGCCTCCCTGATCGTCACCTCCCCGTCTCCACACTCAGGATCAGAGTCTCCCAGGCCCAGCGAGGAAGAATCTTCCAAGTGCGTGTGGCTTTGCTTTTCCTTCTCCTGGTCATTCAGCCCTTGTTTGTTGAGCACTTACTGTGTGCAGCGGGGAGACTGAGGCCCAGAGAGGAGATGGGACTTGAGCAAGGTCGCTCAGCCAGTCGGGGGGCCTGGGACCGGGTCTCCCCTCGCCTCACCCCCCAGTCTCCTGTCACAGGGCTCTTCTCTCTCAGGGAAGTGGCAAAGCTGGGCTTAGGGCAGAGGGGGTGGTGGCCCTGCTGGGCTCCCCAGCAGTCAGGAGCCTTTGAAGAGCTGAGAGGAGGGGCTCAGAACCTCTGTCCCCCCATACTCTCCCTGCGCCCCACGGTGGAGAGGGGTTGCTTTATTTCTACTGCGCCCTGAGCTCTGACCTGTGTGGTATCCATCTCCTGAGAACCCTCCACTTCCCCTCCCTTCCCTCCCCACCACATCTGTTTCCCGTCAGTCTCCAGCTGCAGCTCCCCCCTGCCAGCCCTGCCCCCCATGAGAAGAAAACACTAATGGGCTTTGCCTCACTGCGGGGGGTGGGGATGGCCCTGGGGTGATCAATCCCAGCTGCTGACTGTTTTTCCCTCGCAGAGGGGAGTCGCCTTAACAGCTTCCCCAGCTCCTCCACCCAGTGCCTGGGCAGGGCTGAGCCAGGAGCCGTGGAGGGAAGGGGCACTGACAGGGTCATGGCCAAGGAGCGGGGATGGCCAGGATGTTGCAAGTGCATTTCCACAGGGACTCAGCTGATTCCCCTGTTCCCAGCCTGCTCCCTCTACATAATAATAATAGCAATAATACATGATATTAATACTGATCAACACTGCTCTTTATGTACCAGGCACTGTTCTAAAAACTTGGCATATATTAACTTATTTACTCTTCACAACAACCCTATCAAGTAGGTACCCTTATTAGCCCATTGTGTAGAGGAGAAAAATTGAGGCACCGAGAGGTTAAGTGACTTGCAAGAGGTCACACAGCAATTATAGAGTCTTACAGAGCTCTTTATGGTTAGAAACTACCTTAAGACAGTCATCTCATTTACTTCTCTCCCTATCACACGTACAGCAAATGTTATTAATCCCCCCCCCCCAACCCAAGTTACAGAAGGGCAAGTTAAGGTTCTAAAGGAGTAAGTTCTCTCCCAACGGCCCTTGGCAGGTAGGTAAAGCTGCAGGCCTCTGGCAGGGCCTTTAATGTCTTGGAGCCTCGGTTTCCTCATCTGTAATATATGAGGATGATAATATGCCCCTCACAGGACGTTAGGTTGTATGATTTATGTGGCGGTGCTTTGCAAAGTGTAAACCACAGGGAGCAAGGGTGGCGTCAGGCCTGCTTGCTCTGGTCTCTCCGGCCCCACTTGGAAGACGGGTTCAGGGAGGGGCTGGGGCCAGCATGAAGAGTCCAGGAGGGGAGCTGGACATCAGGCTGGGTTTGGTCTAGGGGAGGGAAGACTTCAGAGCTGCTCACATCGGACCTATGGGGGCCAGCAGAGAGTCTGCATGGCCCCTGTGTGGCTGGGATCACTGGGATGGGCGTACAGGGACCCAGACTTCAGCCCAAGATCGTGAACTGCGGGCAGTGGGCTGAGCCGGTGAGCTCAGCCGCCAGGGAGCTCTCCAGCGCTGGGGTGTGTAGGCCCCTGGGATACTGCCCTGGGATACTGTAGGTGTGTATCAAGATGTCTGGAGGGCAGGGGATTTCACCTTCCCAGGTCTTTCAGCTTGGAATTGTGGCTTCAACTTTCAGTGGCCCTCTACCAGCTGGTATTCCCCTCCTATTAGTAATAATAATAAACAGCATTAATAACTTTTATGTGCTACGCACTTTCTATTTGTGATCTTCCTTGAGTTGTAACAACAGTCTCGTGAGAAAAGCGTTACTGACATCTCCTTTTACGGATGAAGAAATGGAGGATCAGAGAGGTCAGGTGGCTTGCCCAAGGTCACACAGCTCATAGGTAGTTTGAGCCCAGGTCTGACATGAAGCCAAACTCTTTCTCCTTTCCCCTGGCCAGGAAAGCCAGTCATTGAAAGCTTACTGAGATGAAGCCAAGGCTCCTGCCCTATTTCCATGTCTTCCCAGTGTGGCTTTAGGCCTGGAAGCACGGGGATGGGCTTTATGACCCTGGATCAGAACCCTGTCCACCCACAGTCCATACACTCACTTTCTAGAGCCCTCTGACTCCATTCTCTGCTCTGAGTGTCAGCTTCGGGCCAGGCACTGCATAATCAGGCAGAAAAGTTGGTGCGCTACTTTTGAGCAGTTTGCAGCCTGTCCAAGGGGTAGCGCTCACGCTCAGCTTCCCTCCAGGACCATTCTGGGTCCTGGTCACTGGCACCAAGGCTCCCTTGGCCCACACCAGCCTGCAGTTCCTGCCCCCTGTCCTCGGCAAGTGGCTCCCAGCTGGCCCTGATCAGCTTCCTTTGAGTCCCCCCGAGTCCATGCAGAGGACCCTGCTACAGGTAGGGGTTCTGGGCTGGGGCTACGGCTGCCAGCCAAGAAACTGTCTGCCTCAGGAGGTATGCCTAATAACCTCCGTACATTTTCTAGAGAAACAAGCTCGCTTTTGAGAGCCAGGATGCAAGGTACAGAGGGAGCAGGGAAGCCCCCTGTGTAACAGAAACGTGCTTGTACGTGCCAAACGTCACTCAGATTACAAGCATCTAGACATCTGACTCCACCCTGTAAACGAGCTGCAACGATGGCCCACTTTACAGATGTGGAAACCGAGGCTCTCTGAGGCCACACCGTGAGTGAGTAGCCTCAGAGGTCTGGCAAGTCACCTCCCTTCTCTGGACCTCAGTTTCCCTGTTCAGAAACACCTAGCCACTCCACTAACGGGGCAGGCAGTGTGCCAGGCCCTGGGCTGTGGGGTGAATCAGAACACTGGCTGCTGACGTCACAGAGCTAAGGGCTCGCTTACCCGAAGCCTGAAACACTGTGACCCCGTCCAGGTTAAACTCCCCTTGAGTCTTGAGGCCGCAGGAGCAGGTGTGGTGGTGACAAGTGGCCTGGGAAGAAGCAGTGGATGCTGGGAATCAGGAGATGCGGCTTGGGTCTCCCTTGCGCTGGGCCTCAGTTTCTTCACCTGGATAATGTCTGTGCCCCGCTGTGCTGCCTCTGTCTCAGGCACTCGTGAGCTTCAGGGGGTGGCTTCTCAGAGAGTACTGGC